TATATTTTAAACAAAGTATGAAGAAGGTTTGATAGTATTTACAACAGTTGTGACACTACACCAGGCCGCATAATGTGACGCCGCCCTGGTTATGGTGATTATCTTTAATGTTTGACATAAACTATCATATAGGTATTTCATATTCATACTTGTTTTAAAATATAAATAGGTATACCATAAAATACATGTTGATTCTGATTTTATACCACATGGTGTGACATAACTGTCTGATGATGTAATTTAAAAACGTACATTTTCTGCAGTGTTCGCGCGGTGCTCAGACGCAACATGTCGCTGGCGTTCGACGCGATACACACTACATTGTCCGAGACCAGTGCTGTCCCCAGACGCCGCTCAAATGTTCTAGACGCAGCGACGAACGCACATAGGAAAACGGTTACATCCTCAAAAGAAACGGAATAAGACGTTTGGTAATACAATATAAAGAAGAACTAGCCAATGACAGAGAAGCGTGAGATGGTATAACGCCGTGTACCTACAAGTATCAAGATTGGAATAGGTATATTATAAAATGTAACATTTTTAATTTAAACTCGTGAAATTCCATCAAATAAATTATGTTTTTTATTCATTTATCCCGAAATACATAATAATATAACGTTTTCTATAAACAGATCGGCGGATTGTTGTTATTCTGTTTTTAATCGTATTGACCGCATTTTAACGTGCATGCGTTGTCTCTGTCTTACAGACGTACAACGTGGATAATTTGCATTCGGTAATAACACCTACTATGAAATTTGCACCAGTTTGTGTGCTACATTCATTTTGCGAAGTGAATCGTGTACATCAGCTCCAAATAAACGGTGTTTCGTTCGAACGCGAATCAGCTGAAAATTAAAATCTAATAATTTAAAAGGTACCTCAATGACTAATATTGTGAACAAAAATATCCGAGTTTTCGTACTGCACGCATAGTCTCGAATCCGTCAAATCTCCATAAAAAATCAATGCTTGTGAATTTCTTTAACCAAAAACGAATAACATGAACTAAATACCGATATGTGTAAATATATTATTTCATAACCGTGAACAAAGTTAAATTGTTATTAGTCATTTTGCTTATTAAAAAAGAAATTCATTTAATTTACTATAATATAATTTATTAACATATTCTATTATGACCGTTTGGTTTATTTATACAAATAGGGCTACCATATAACATTAATAACATATAGCAAATACTATTTTTTAATATTTGGTAAGTATATAATATGATATAGCCATTGAGGTTTGTTTTACATAATAGAATAATAAGTCGGGCTATTCGCCTTAAACTCATAACTTCGTTTAAAAGTTTTTCAATCTACAGAAGATAATATAAAGTTTAAAATATAAACTTACAAGAATATCTTACCAGCCATGCTTTAAATAACAAAAAACATGATATTTATCAAACTAATGCGATGCATAAATAGTAATTATTCCGTTATATCACTATTTTTATTGATGATTTTTGACTGCTAAAATACCGGTTAGATGAAAAAGTCTATTGTAAACTCTTCTAGCATTAAAGCCTTCCCATGTTCCGACATTTAATATGTTGTTATATGTCAAAATTCAGGTACAATAACAAAAATAGCAAATCATATATTAGATAATTTTTGGCGGAGTTTATACGTGGACTTTATTTTTATGTCCGTAAAATATTTATCTTGTATTATCTAAATCGTTGACCACAATATTTTTTTTAATATGATTATTATCGATGACAGCAATTTTTACAAACATAGGCGTTTATCACAATGGAATTATAATCTTGTCGTCTATTGTTCTGCCCAACATTGTACTATAAAATAGAGACTGTTTTTTAAATTTCCTGTTATAAATCTATTGGTAAATTGATGGGTTACGTAACAATAGTAGCTTGATATAGAGTAAAAGTTAATTGGAAATTTTAATTGATGTTGAGTTATATAATAATAATCTCTTACCGTATTTCGACGTGCGAATAAAAAAAGGGTATATAGGCAAGAACGGCTATAAGCTATACCATTGTTTAAGGCCACGTTTAGTTCAAAAAGTCAAAATTAACAGTGCTTTTTATTCTACACTTATAATTTATAAATAATATACGAGTGAAAAAGAAACATTAAAGTTAAAGGTAAAGTTTATAAAAATAAAGCAATGACTTTAAACATTGCTGTAATATTTTACCGAATTAATATTCTTTTAAGCACACTTTTAAATGTTGTACTACACCCTTCACTTTTCATACCATACACAGTTTTAGGTGCTGCTTACTAATTATTATGTACCTACTATAAATAAAATTGTAAACTGAGTAGCGTTGAAAAATTAAATATATATTATGTGAAGCAAAATAGGTACTAGGTATTATAAAATAATTGTATTAATCGATGTTTTGGTTAACAATGTATTATTTTAACTTACAAATAATTATTTGGAAAATCAACATATATTTGTAAAGAGCCCACTTATATATTTAATAATGTTTTGTTTTTTTATTGTGTTTAATGATATTCTTCAGAAATTTACTTTACTAATTGTTATTCAAGTTCTACATTATATACCTTGCAGTTACATTTTTTCCATTATTTGATGACATTTCATATAAAATGTATGAACCTAATTATTAATGACGTGAATAACAAGTTGTATTTTGTTCCGCTTAAAACTAGTCTTGAAAATAACCCTTTATTGACTTATTGCAATATATTTTAATTAAATCATAAAAACACTATTAAATTTAAATTTTTAGTTATCGTTAATCGTGTAATATTTACAATGATAGAAACGTGTGATGCCGCATCATTACTGAAATTTAAAACCGTCATTTTCGAAAAGCCACCATTAATCAAAATATCGGTCTATTTGTAATCTGAAAACGCTATAACCTTTAAAAACTTGTGTCGAATAGTTTTAAAAATCGTTTGTCAATTTTTGACTGGTTTCGGTCTTACGGCAGACCATTAAACATGGTCTACTAAAACCGGGTTGAAAGTTTGGGAATAACGACTTGTGATGGCTTCAGAATACCTTACAGAGCTTCAAAAATCATTGTGCATTATTAAAAAATTAGTTGGCTTTCTGAAAAATTTAATATTAGGTTCATACGACTTTTTACTGCCGATAAATTGTGAAAAATGTGTGTACAACCACTGCTGTATCAACGACGCGAATCACAATAGTTTACTAGTCGGTACGATTACTTTTATATAATCACTTACTGGTTCATTTTACCGTATTGTAATTCAACATTTTCATTGTGTTTTAAATGTATTACTAATAAAGTTAACAATATGGTTGATACCGCCACCACTACTGCTCCTGCCACTGTTGCCGCATCGCCAGCCCCAAAAAATCTCCATCGAAGAAGGCTGCGATTAAAACCAAAAAGCCCTCTGCGTCTCACCCGGCAACTTCCCGTTATGGTGACTTCTGCAATCAAAGAACTTAAGGAGAAGAAGGGTTCTTCTTAACCAACTATTAAGAAATATTTGGCTGCAAACTACAAGGTTGATTCCTCTAAATTGGCGCCTTTTATCAGGAAATTTTTAAAGGCTGTCGTAGCCAATGGAACAGTCCTTCAGACCAAAGGTACTGGCGCTTCTGGACACTTCAAGTTACCCGTTGCGGCGTTGCCGAAGTCAAACCAAAAAAGGCTATTGCAGTTAAGAAGAAAAAACCAGCCGTTAAGAAAATTAAGCCAGCTGGAACTCCAAAAAAGAAGCCCGCAACTGCAAAAAAAAGTGAAGACCACATCTGGCAAACCGGAGGCTAAAAGAACAAAAAAGATCGCAACATCCAAGGCTGCTAAGCCTAAGAATTCGCCGGCCAAAGTAAAAAATCTAATCACTCTCAAATCCAAGGCGAAAAAGACCCCAACCAAAAAAACTGTAGCTCCCAAAAAAAAGTAAAAAGAAACTACTTCTTTTTTTCCATAAAACGGTCCTTTTCAGGACCACCAATTATATTTTTAATAATTGTCATCAATACTTACTTAAGTTACTTATTAGTTTATTAGTTTATTTTTCCTTTTTGCTTTAAATATTATTCCTATAGAATGAATATGCATCCTTGGATAGTTGTCCATTATAAAACTGTATTTTTACTTTCCATAATATTCTGTTTCTAATAATGCTATCAGCTAACATAGTTTTGTTATAGGAAAATTAACAACGATAATTTTCGTCTATTTTAAATTGTCGTAGTTTAGTAAATGACCAAATTTTGATGACAACTTTTATTTTTTTTTAAACTATACAATACAATAATATACTGTTTAAAGTTATAATCTACAAGGGCAGATTTAAAAAATTGCTAACTATGCGGTCGTATAACCTACCCCCTCACTCCTATTCCAAAATCCTAAGCACGCATACCATACATATACTTATGCCTAAAATATTGATTTATAAAGTTTTCATTCTTTACATTTTTACTTTGTAAAAAAAAATAACAGATATAAAATATAAATTGTGATGTTTTCTTTTTGACATTACTTGAATAAAAAAAATTATTGTGAATAAATATAAAAATGGAAGTAGTTAGTAGAAGTATCTTACCTAAAAGATATAATAAAAATATTAAAAAACCAAATAGGTTGAATTTTTAAAATGAATAATTTATTTTTGTTGTAATATTATAGAAATTAACTATCTTTATATTTTTAATTTTAAGTAATTATTATTATATTGTTGTAATTTTTTATTTATTTTGTAATTGTCTTATATAAATATTACGTTTGATTTGTATAGATAATTTAAAATGTTCATAGATATAATGTATAGATATGATATAATGTATAATAACGTAGAGATAAAAATTGTGATAATAAGATAGCAATATCATAAGTGTCTAATAGTATCATAAGATATTATGTGATAAACTATGTACTATGTAAAATTATAAATGAATATTAACCCAGAATACCTATATTCCCGCCAATATATAACATGAATGAATTAGTTAGTAAAATAATTAGTAGGCACTTAGCAAACTATTATACTACCGGTTTATCTGTATGTTGTCATTTTCTTCTCTTCACTAAATCTTACATACTGCAATGTAATAAAAATTTTTTTGATCAATTAAATACAAAAAGGCTGGGAATTTAGAATTTAAATATTATAATTATTTAGTATACAATAATAGATTCAATTATATCTAATATATCTAGATTTATATATATATATATATATATTACCTTTAAATTTTTCTTTTTTTTCTAAGTTTGATTTGTTCAATTTATCACTTTGTTCTATTTTATTTTTAATTAATTGAACATTTGTTAATCGTTTTAACTTCTTTTCAGGATGTACCATCTATAAAATATATAATTAATATTAAATTTGAATTATAATATTAGTTTTTCTTATAATCACTTCAAGTATTTTAGTGTTTAAAATACGGGTCGTTGTTTGGTTGTCCAGTTTTACAAATTTATTTTGCATGTATCTTAATCTATTTTCTTTATCTTTTGTTTTATGTTTTAATAAATTATTTTCTCCTTTCAATTTCTCCAAAGTAATGTTTTTTGATCTGTTTATATATGATAATAGGTGAGTAATATAATAATACTATAGTGAATAACTAATAAGTAAAATATGTTTGAATAGTAAATACACTAAATTATTTTTTAAATTTATCAGCCTCTGATTTTCCTTGAGTGCGTCGCTCAGATTTTTGGAATTTGCTTCATATTCTATTTGTTTTAAACTTTTTATGGTGTTTATTTGAGTTAGAAGTTCAGTGTTCTTTGATTTTTCTTTATTGATCTGATCTTCTAATCTATAAATTTTGTTTTGCAATGACTGAAATTTAATTAATATAAATTAATGTTCATATTATTTTGGTGACAATAATATTGACACATAATTTATTAAAAGAAGTAGTTATTGTTAAATAATGTTGTATATTTGTATTTTTTTAATGAGTAATAATGCTCTTACGTACGTATTATGCACTAAAAAGAATGATTAGTAATTATTAATTATGGTTGTTTTAAAAGATTGTCTTACTTCTTCTAAAGAATATGACCTTGGCTTTTCGTAATTGCTCTCTACTATCGATTGATTTATAAGTGTGACATTTTTAATACTTCTTTTGAAATTTATGCTGTCATTTTTTAATTGTATAACGGTATTTTCTAATTCATTTATTTTTTGTTTTAATTCAATAGATTCTGGAAAAATGAAAAGTAATTTGGTATACTATATAACACTTTGTATGACAACATTTGTTATATGTAATATGATATACCTTTTTTATGAGCATGTATTATATTGTTTAAATCACGAACTTTAATTGCATAACGTTGGCCTTGTGATACAAGTTTATTTTCACCTTTGGAATGAAGTACTTCCTATATATATATATAAAAAAAAAACATTAAATTTTATTCAATATCATAATTTAAGATTGTCTTAATAGAATCTTATATTATTTTAAAATAAAACCAAAATCAAATTTATTTTTAGGTTTTATTATTTTTGATTATTATTTTTATAATATTACACTTGTTCTTTGAAGTTTTGCGCGTTGGCAAATAATAGTTGCATCTTTTAAAGCTATTTCATTTTTGTTCGATACACTCAGTTTTTCAAACTCTTTAATAAGTTTTTTATATCTCTTTTTTTCGTACAAACATTCTCTCATAACTCTTTCGTATTTATTTCTATTTTTATCTTCAAGTACTATATTTTGTTCACGTAATCTATAAAATATAAACAAATACAATATTAAGGTTTATTGACATTTCTAATGTATGCGAAATAATAAAACTATGTGTATGTACGTTTTTATCTTAAGCTCTAACACGTGTATTTTACTTATTAAGTTCTTTTCGTTCAGTTTACCTGTAACAACAATTTTTATAACACAAGAATTAGTTTAGAAGTTAAGATTCAGAGAAATGGATTGATAATATTTAAATCATCAAATATGATGAAACACTTTAATCATTTAGTGAATTTTTGTTCTTTGCATAATTCCTAATGGACTCTGAGTCTCTGATCGAACTACAGTGGCACCATTTGAGTATTTTAATAGAGGTGATAAAATTTAAACACACCAATTTTTCTTCATTGAAGTAAATATATGTAATAAATAGCTTATGTATTTATGACACAGGTATGGGGTAAAGTGTTACGTATACATTACATATTTTAATGAATTAAAAAAAATTGAAAAGTTGGATGTTGGAAATAACTTTAGTTTTCATAATAAATTATTAATAATATATCTTAACATTAAATTTTATGCATCAACCATCAATTCATTTTTAAACTGTATAACAGGCCAATAAGATACATACAAAGATATGTTTAAAAGTACACCCTACCATTTCAAATGGTACCACTGTCAAATCATGTATGTATTTAAAAAACTATTTAGACTTTAGAGTATTAACGTTTAATATTTATTGCAAAGAAAATAATATTAAGAAAAATAATTGAAAAAATAACATGTTAAAAAAAAGAGTTGATAAAATATAATAGGTATCATAAATTATAAAACAGATCTCGTTCATAATTACGTTAGTGTTTAAAGTAAGATTTACCGTATACTTCTTCAGGTACATCTTTTTTATTGAGTTTTGACTGAAACTGTAAAGTAAAATATATTATGTATTGTACATAATTTACAACTTAAACCTTTATATTACTTGATTATTATAATTAATTACATCTCGCGCTTAATAAAATAAATAGATTAATGGCGTATGTGTTTAAACGAGTGGAATACGATTGCTTACTTATTTTAGTAATTTTTATATTAAAAATTTAATAACGCAGATCCATCAACAGTCAATAATGTGGTTTTATCAATACTAAAGGAAATCTAAGTCGAAATAATGATGAAAATATGATCAATTTCAAAAAGTATCAATAAAAATATAGTTATATCTGATTAAAAACAGATTCAATATTTTATTAAGATGAGTGATAAATATTAAAAGTTAGCTCTATTTACCAAAGAAATTATTTTTCATGATATATTTGTAATATTTTAATTCATATTTTTACAATTTAAACTTTTTTTTTACAAATTGTAAGTAGAAGTTAAAATATCATACAATATATTTGTTTTAAAATATTTATGATATTTTAATGGTAGTTTTAATTTATTAAGTATAAACTTTAAATCTTAACATTTCTTTAAAAATTTTCAAAACTTATCATGTAATTTTGAAAATTGTATAATTATAAATTTAACAACGTTTCGTATGTAATCGTAACGTTTTATAGGTTTTTGTTGTTATCTACAAACAACACACACAACATATGCGTTTCTAAAAAGGTAAAACGTATGCGATTGAGATCTATCCATTTCACTCGTGATTCTGAAATTTAGCACTTACATAAGTTAGTACGCAGGTAATTACTAATTATATACTCAACAACGTGCATATATAAGATTGATTTTCAATTTTACATTTAAAAAAAAAGGCGTAATAAGAATTTGTTCCTCACAACAAAAACAATAAATATTTATTTGTTTTTAAGGTTGATATTAATTATAAAAAATAAAATAATTGTTGTAAATTAATATTCTGTTAAATCTGTATTTTATAATTATTTAAAGTAAGTAAAAGAGTTTTTAAAAGAGTTTGAATTTGTAGATTGAGTAAAATACTGCATAGAGACTCTGAAAAACTTATGGCTTTATCAATAAAGCTAAAATATGTTATTATAATTTGTAAAGTTTATTTATTTATCATATTTATCATAGAATTTTTTTTAATTTAATAATTCATTTAAATAAAACATAGGTATAGTTACTAAATTAGTAATAATAATAATATAGCTTACGAAAGGACAATCGAGATTATCGAATTTCTCCCGCAACTCAAGGTATTTATTCTTGAATAGTTCTATTTCATTTTTATATTCAGTAATGTCTTTTCCAGTATAAATAAATCTAACTTTTTTTTTTTCAATTTCTGCCTAAAATACAAATTTTTTACATGTTATTTGAAATATTTTTTTTCTTCAAATATTTCTTTTTATTTACAATTTTAGCGCGTTGGCTTGTGATTTCTAACTCTTTTGTTTGCATTAAATTCTGTGCTATTCTTAATTTTTTTGCTTGTCGACGAATTTCTGCTCTCTGTTCTTCAATTAGTTCTAAATAGTTATTATTAGAGTCCTAAAAAAATCATTACCTACTTATCTGATATCTTAAATCTTAACACAATACGCAATAATTAAATTCTTAAAAAAAAAAAACGCACTATCTCTTCTTTTACACGGTTGTGTTGTTTCTGTAAGTTTGTATATTGAGTTATGGCTTTTTTACATTTTTTTTGAATACTGCTATATTTTTTGTCAACAGCGGAAACATGACTTTCACATTTTTCATTTTTTTTCCTTTTAGTCAATTTACAATAAAATTATGAGTTTATTTATTTATTTTCAACAATTTAGTGTAATAACAATTCTGTTAATAATATTATCAGCATAGGTAAAATATGTTATCAATTACTATCATTTTACCAGTAATTTTTTGATATTAGTATCTTTTATTTTATTATTTAAAATCAATCCATTAATAGTTATGTCTTTGGCTTTCAAATGTTCATCATGGAACGATATTTCTGTTCGGTAAGCTAAAATCTTAACCTGAAATCACATTTTTATAATAAAATATATCTATTGTATTCTTATTGTTAATAATATTAAAATCAAATTAAAATTACGTTAAGATCATTAATTGTGGCTTCTAATTTTTCAATTTTCAATTTAGACATATCTTTGTTTTTTATTTCTTTAATTTGTGTATCTTCACAGTCTTTTAAGTTTTTCGTCAATTTAATGATATTTAACTAAAAAAATGTATTATTTTTACTTATCATTAACATTCATTTAATGTGTTTTAAATGGCATTACTCTTAAATCATGATTTTCATTTTTATATTCTTTTAATTGATTCAAAACTTCTTCATATTTTGTTTTATGATTGGTCATGTTCATTTCTAGTTCGTTTTTTAACGATTTTAACTCCATGACGGTCTTATTTGACTCTAAGATTTTTAATTTTAATGCTGGTATTTCAGCAATATTTTTCTAAAATTATTAAAGAATCATATTATTATATATAGATAAAATATTGATGAATAATATACTAAAGAGGACTGAAATGCATTTGCGGGACTTATCTTTAAAAAAAAGGTATTTGGCTAAGATTCATACATTGTGTATGAGCGAGTATAATGCGCAATACATACGTTTGATAAAAATATGTCAAATCTGGAAGAGTGGGGCTATACGTTTTAAGATTACAAGATCTCATGTATTAATCGACAAAAAGTTATAATAGATTACTAATAATATATAAAAATAAGTGGAGTTTTATTGGTAATTATTTATATTAACAATGATACCTCTGCTCATAATCGATATATTATTTTACGTCGTAATCAACTTTTACTTACTCTATATAGAGTTTCTGATGCCGATTTCTCCTTTCGCATTGTTATTAGCTCGGCTTCAATTGATTTATAATTGGATTTGAGCTCCGAGCATTCATACTCGAGTTCATAATTTTTTTTTTTCTATCTTTTCAATCTTTTCCTCGAGTACCAATGACGGATAATACGAATCGGATCTATAAAATTGTAAATTTATAAATACGCATTATTAGCAGATATATTTGAGTAATTTATTAAACAATGGTCGCAATAAGTATGCATTATTTAGCGTATAGTGAGTTGTAAGTATATTATATACTCATCCATCCAAATTGGTTTTAAGTCCTCATAATCTTCATTGCTGGAACGATTTGAATCCATGATTTAAAATATAAAATAATAAATTTAAAATTTTAATAATTATAAAATAAACTGTAACTAATTAAATACAATAAATAGAACTAAATATATATTGTGTTTCAACAAAAATCGTATCTAGGAAACGTATACAAAGAAACAATATACCTACGACAGTATATAAAAAAAATATAATCAACCAGACTTAATTTTAACACATTATTATGTAATTATATGGATTTATGTACATTGTACACAAAGCACAAACATCTATTAAACATAAGGAGCACTGGCGTAGTGATGATTTTGTTCTAGGAGGATATACCTATAATTTATTGGATAAACATAAAGTGGGGTGCTTCAGTGCTTATAACCATGTCCTTATAGTCCTATATTGCATATTATATCCGTGAATATGGGTAATTTTATAATCTTATATTTAAATAAATTTATGTTAAATATTTACATCACTAATGAAATAATAGGTATTTAAGTATCTATATTGTATGTTTGTATTTAATACTCTTTGAAATTATTAGATCGAGTAAGTTATACTTGGATCATTTCCAATAAAGTAATGAAATTCTAAAATATTTTTATATTATTATTGGTATTCCAATGTCTACATCATCATGTTTTATATAAATTCACAAAAAGTAATTTTATAAATAAATGTAATATTTTAGTTTTATAAATATTATAATTAATGAATCTTTAAGATTTATAAGAATTAGATTATTAATTCATGATTTTATTGGTATCAAATGTACGTGAATTTGAGTACAATATTTAATTATGTATTCAATCTTTTATCATTTTATTTGTTATAAAAATTTTTAAGTAAATAATAGAATTGTTAAAATCGATAATTGGACGACCACAGGTTGTC